TTTGATCTAGAAGATGAAAATGGGGACTCTACTGACGAGCAAATTACGTTGATAATTGAGGACTCTACTGACGAACCAACTTTTATCTTGATTTAGAATATTAAAAAAAGACTGCTGACGAGCACATTAAGTTATAAACTAAAATATAAAAACGGGACTTTACTGACAAGCAAACTATAATTTCAACCTAGAATATTAAGAAAGGACCTTACCGACGAGCAAACTTTAAATTCGATCTAGAAGGTGAAAAAGGGTCTCTACTGACGAGCAAACTTAAAATTTGATCTAGAAGTAGAAATTTTAATTTACTCCACTCGACAGATATAATTGCGTGATTGTTTATTAGACTGAGTACTTGAAGCAAATTCGTTCGGGATATATTGATAAATAATTTTGATAATAAATATTTGTTTCAGAGACTGTTTTTATTGTCATATGAAGTGCGGATTTTAAATGTTATCAAAACTAATGGTGTATGGCATAAATTATTTTTTCTTAAAAAGATTAAATTTTAAACCTAAAAAAATTGATTTTTGAGTATTTTGAAATTTTGGGAAAAAAACTTTTTTGAAAAAAAATTGTTTAAATTTTCAAAAATTTTGGAAAGTTTGAACTTTTTTCCAAAGTAATCACGCTGCTTTGGCTGCATAGAGACTAAATATCGAAGCGCATTAAGTTAAGAAACCTTTGAAACGTAAAGATATGCAAAAATTTTCGCGATTACTATAACTTGCCTCACGGGAAGTTAATAAACCGCTCAAGGTTATAAATGAGATTTGTGGGAAAAGAGTTTCGACCATCTTTCGATATAATTTTTTTTCTGAAACTCTTATTAAACACCAGTAATTTTTGATTATGCAAATAATGGCAAATAATGAAATGAAATAATAGCAATAATAATAGCGAACTGAGTTTTTTGGTCCAATATATAAGCTTGATTCGAATTAGGAAATGCAATACCGGTATACCGGTATATCGAATTACCGGTAAACCGCCCGATTTTTCGGCGGCATTTTTACCGGTATTTATTCCAAAAATACCGGTATTTTCGGTATTTTTATATAAGCGCTATTTGATACATAAAGCACTAAAGTTTAAATTTCTCGGAACAAATTTATATTTAAATTCCATAATCGCATAAACAAACAGTTATATCTTCAAGTGATTCTATATGATAAACAAATGTCAAATATTATCTCAACTCGTCATTAAACTGAATATTTATTGCTTTCCAAAGGGTTTCATATTGTGTTACAATAAATAGAATTGGACTGATAGATAATGATGTTTGTTTCATCTTTTGTAAAAATGTAACGGTTTTTTAAGTGATATTTGCGCCAAAATATTTTATATCATACAGATTACCCCTGCGCAATCTTTATTTTTTTTAACTTTATACATAATAATTATGATAATTACTAAATATTTTTGCTTCTTATTACAATTATAAAATATTATTTTTCGAAAACGTTTCGAAGTTTGAAAATACTATAGAAACATCACATTGTTTTAAATAACAATACTCAACAATTATAGTAACTTATTATTTATCTCGACAAAGCATCCGATCTTAAATTAGTGTGGAAAATTTTTTTTCTTTAAATATTGGAGATTATGCTAATTTAACACATCGGATACAGACAACACGGTTTATTATAATAATGTAATATGATCTTTTATGAGTTTTTGGTCTTTCTACCCATAAGTTTCTTTTTGGTGAAAACTACTCAATATATTCGATAGTGACAATGAATTAATTAAATTGTATATACTTTTGTTAAAAATTATTATTCAAAAAATGAACTTATTGTTTCATTTTATTGTTTAGTTGAATATACTTGTAGTTGTATACACATTTTTTTATATTTGTACTAGTAACTTTCAATTTTGTTCACGTTTGTTTAAGATAATAAAAAACCGGTAATTTACCGGTATTACGGTTGTAAAATGAATAATTACCGAAATACCGGTATTGAAATTTTCCATCGGTATTGCATTCCCTAATTCGAATCATTTGAGTTAATACATTTTCGAGCCCGCACATCACTAATAAAATAATCATGCCTTGCAATCAATTCATCATTCATCCAATCAAAGAATCATCAATTAAACATAATCCTTTATTATTTTTCTTCCAGGAGAGTTCACCCTGCTCCCACCCCGTCTCCGACCTGAGCCACTTCGCAGGGGAGCAGTGTGCCCTTTTGGCAGGCGCCTTCCACTCCCTGCTCCGGGGAGTCGCGGCCCTGACCCTATCTCTGCCTCCGGGATCGCCTTTGCAGACGCAGGCCATCAGGTGTTGGGCAGTCAGATTCACTGCTAGTGACCACGCATTCCTACACAGGTATAATAGACTATAATGGATAAGCATTAATTACAAGGTGAATAATTAGTCATCCCAGATTGTTTATTTGGCTTTACTTTTAACAGATCTCATGTGTTCGGGAACATAAGCAAGATCTTGTCAAGATCTGAAGAAGAAGCGAGTGAAGATGCTGTGAATTCGTTGTGCGAGAATAATACTGTGGCAAACACCAATGTAAGAATATTTTTTTGTTGAATCCTATATTATCTATTATCCTTTATTATTTTAGTACAAGCGGGCCGGGTAAAGATACCCGTTTCGAGGAATGGTGCGGGTATTTTTACCCGCTTTAATATTACTAACTTCAAAACCGGTTTACAAATAATATTGAAAGAGGTTGTCTAGATTCAATTGATTGAGTTTTAGTTTTTTAGTATTTAGTATGCTTAGTATTTCGATAATTTACAAAATTCTTGAATTTTCATTTCAAACATTTTAATTTGTTAACATTAATATAAAAATCTCGAATAAAATTAAGTCTAATGTCGAAAACATTCTGGCATTTCAAATTCGAGGCATTTTTAGAGAAAAGGGAACTGTACTGACGAGCAAGTTCGCAGATTTTTTAGGAAAAAAACTTTACTGACGAACAACTTCTGGCATTTATAGAAAAAAGTAACTGAAAAAAAAAGACTTTTCTAACGAGCGAATTTTGCTTTTTTTTTTAAAAAAAAAAAACTCTACTGACGAGCAAATTCTGTCTTTGTTTTTTTTTTCAAGAAGGAACTCTACTGACAATCAAATTCTGGCATTTTTTAAAATAAAGGAAATGGGCAAATTCTGACTTTTTTTTAAAAAAGGAACTCTACCGACGAGCAAATTTTGTCACTTAAAAAAAGAACTCTGCCGACGAGCAATTTCTGATATTTTTTAGAAAAAAAAACTCTAATGAAGAGCAAATTCTGTCATTTTTTAGAAAAAAAACAATTATGCTGCCAAGCAAATTTTGCCATTTTTAGAAAAAATCGAACTCTACTGACGTGCAAATCCTGAAATTTTTAGTAAAAGGGAACTCTCCTGACGAGCAAATTCTTATATTTAAAAAAATGAACTCAACTGATGAACATATTTGTTTTTTTTTAAAAAAAGGAACTCTACTGACGAGCAAATGCTGACATTTCTAATAAATAAGGAACTTTACTGACGAGCACATTCTAACATCTAAAAATAGAACTCTACTAATAGGCAAATTTTGACATTTTCAGAGAAAAACGAACTCTACTGACGAGCAAATTCTGATATTTTTAGAAAAAAAAATCTGCTGATTAGCAAATTCTGGCATTTTGAGAAAAAAAGGAAATGACGAGCAAATTCTGTCAAAACAAAAATTATACTGCCAAGCAAATTAATTTTGACTCTACTGACGAGCAAACTTGACAACTTTTTGGAAAAATCTTACATCTTTAGACAAAATAGTAGAATTGCTTTGTTGGATCAATTTAAGAAAAAGACGAGTTAAATATAAATATCAGTTAAAGCTAGATAAAATTCACTAAAATGTAAAAACTTGTATATACATGTTTTTTGTTTTTGTTTATTTATTTATTTATATATTATTTTCATAGCTCAGTCAGACAGAGGTGACTGGTATTAGAGATTATGAAACAAATTTTATATTTTATATTTATATCATTTGTCTATTTTATTATACAACAATATAATATTTATTATAATTAAAATATCTATTCAATCTTCAATTTCTTTATAACATATCTTTATTTTTCTTTTGAAATTATTGTCGTCATTATATATTTTACTTGCGCTCCATATCTCATTTCCTCTTAATTTCTTTTATCTATTATGTTCAATGTGAAAATTTTCACAATTGTTGTACTTGTTTTAATTTTGTTATATTTCATTTTGTGCATTAATTTGTATTTCTCTATTTTAATTATGTTGTTTAGTGAATTTGGAATCAAAAATTTTCATTTTCAATTTTTTGTGATTACTATAACTTACCTCACGGGAAGTTGAAAATATATAATAAAAAAAAATTTTTCCCCAGGCTGTTTCCGTCGAATGGCTCCAAGACGTGACCCAGTACGTGGAAATTCGCTGCTCCAGCAGGCAGGCTATGAGTGCTAGTCTGGTCGATGATAGCACCGAGACTTTCTGGGAATCTGGTGACGAGGACAGGAATAGGCCCAAACATATCGATTTGATATGGCCTGATGACGATAATGAGAAGACTTGCCCGAAGGCCGTCTATGTTCATGTCGATAATACCAGAGATATCGGGGTAAGATAATAGATAGCAGATACAGATATTTTACCTTTTACCAAAAATTTAAAAGTCATTCGATGTAACTTTGGTACAAAATTTTGTTTTGTACCACACTAGATATTATTTGAGATAAATTTGAATATATTTCTAGCCTAAAATCTGTAAATATTTTACAACTATCTATGAATCTTGGTTCCTAATAACGATCTTTACATGCTTTTCCAAAGAAAATCTGAATTTACTACTTTGCGTCACTTTTTTTAGGACGAAGAAAAGTGTTTTTGATGCTGTAGATTGTGCTTAATTTTTTTACTGAGCTATTTTTTTTTCTTAATATTTTTTTTTTCATTTCGATTTTCTATTTTCAGAACAAAGTTTCGGCTTTAAGCTTCTACAACGGTGTGAATTTCTCCGAGATGAAGCTGATTAAATCGGTCGATGTTGAAAGTCGATCTGGTACATGGATTGTGTGCTTTTTACCAGGTAATTGTTATTGAAATAATTATAATATATTATAAATAAATCGTCACGGTACAATTAAATGTTAAACAAGTATAATGCCTTAAGGCAAATTGCTGAACCTTCTCGTACTGTAATTTAACTAAATTCTTAAAACAGAAATTAGATTTTTTTGTGTTGATAAATTTCAATATTTTTACAAAAAAATGAAAATTTGACTTTTTTGACAATTTTGAATTTTTTTTTATTTTTTATTTTATTGAAAATGTTGAAATATCTTGCAATTTTTTTATACCCTTTCAAGAAACATTTAAAAAATAGTAATATTTTTGAATAATTTGATAAAAATCGACTCTTGAAAATGTTGTTTTTTTCATTTGAATTCTTTTTGAAAATGTTGAAATTTCTTGCAATGTTTATATACTCATTTAAGAAACATTAGATTTTCTTTTTAATTTTAATTCTTTTTGAAAATGTTGAAATTTTTTGCAATTTTTATATACCCATTAAGAAACATTCAAGAAATATCTAAAAAATATTAATATTTTTGAATAATTTAATAAAAATTGACTCTTTTGAAAAATTTTTTTTTGAAAATTGTTTTTTTCAAAAACTTTTCGATTCAAGAAGGTTTGACACATTTACAATTTTTTGATATTTTTAAATAATTTGATAAAAATCGTCATTTAAAGATGATGTTTTTTGGAAATTTTGAATTTTTTTGAAAAACTTTAAACTTTTGAAATTTTTTGAACGTTTTGGATTCAAGAAGGTTTGAAACATTTAAAAAAATCTAATATTTTTGAATAATTTGATAAAAATAGAATATTTTGAAAATGATGTTTTTTTTATGAAAATTCTGAAATTTATTGAGAAACTTGAAATGTTTGAAATTTCTAGAATGTTTTTAATTCAAGAAGGTTTGAAACATTTAAAAAGATTTAATATTCATTGATTTTTTTTTAAATTTCTTGAATTTTTTGATTCGAGAAGGTTTAAAACATTTAAAAAATATAAATATTTTTGAATAATTTCATAAAAGTCGACTCTGTTGAAAACGATGTTTTTTTGAAAATTTGGAATTTTTGAAATTTTTTGAATGTTTTTGATACTCAATCAAGTCGGTTGATGTAGACATTCGTTCTTTGAACTATATAAGATAACTTTAAATAGATTGAAAATAAATTGGTACTTATTATTATAATCTCTATTAGATATCTGATAATTTTATGAACATATGTCTAATGATCATTTTTGGCCGCCAAATAGCGTTTTTAATTTTTGTTCTGGATTTCCGAAACCGCTGAACCTGCCTTTGCAACTATTCAATCAATTTTTCATTCCGTCAATAAGAGAAAAGTTGTTTGAATAATTCAAATCGGATGCTCCGTTCTCTCAAAAACTTAATTACCATTTGAAATATTTTAATATAATTTTTTTAATTCAGTCAAGTCGAAACAACTTTACAGTATTAATTTATTATTACTATTTTATCACATGTGTACTTACTTTTTTCTAGATAAGCCAAAATTCAACGTCCGCATCGAAGCCCACGGTCCGGACAACTCTCTTAGAATCAGGCAAGTCAGGATTCTAGGCAACCTGGCACCAGGACCTGGACAGGATCGTTCGTCCAGGACCATTCGGCAGCAAAGTGTAGCCAGTGTCCAACGGAGGAATTGCGAGACTGAGACTTTGAAAGTTTTCCGATTGATTACATCACAGGTAAAATAGTAAAAGAAACATTGATCGATATATATGGGCCAAATCTGCTGTAACATAGACGATAACATAGCGTTGTTATGGCAACGCTTGTCTCTTGGTAGGAACAATTAGAAAAATGTCTGTCTAATTGCTGTATGATCAGGCGTATTTTACATATAAACAAAGCAAGAAAGAATCTCATGATAACAGAGGCTTTGTGATGCGCATTTATAACATAACGTTTTATGTGTAAAACATCTGATCGTATATATCAATTAGATAGACATTTACACAGTTTTTACTACTAATAAACAAGCATAACATAGCGTTGCCATTACAAAGCTATATTATTGTCTATTATTAACATGATCAATCATTCTAAGGAGGCGATAGAATAGAATTAGTTTCTATTCTATTTCTATTCTAGTTAGTAGAATTGATTTCTTGGATTTGTTGAGACTTTCCTTATTATTTATTATCTTTTTAGGTGTTCGGAAAATTGATTTTAGGAGAATCCGTTCCCGAGAATATAAATTATTCCGCAGACAGAGATCAGGATATCGATAGCTCCAATGGAGATTCTGGTTCTTTGGATTTACGCGAACATATGGTTGGAATTCTATTTTCTAGGAGCAAGTTGACACATTTGCAGAAACAGGTAATAAATATTAAATGATATATTTCGTAATCGATTAATATATGAGTGCTCTATGGTATAATGGTTAAGCTCACTGACTCGTGTGGACGGGGTTGTGAGATCGACCAGAGTTTTGGACAACTTGACATCGTGCAGCAGCGATGTCTGTTTTCAGTTGAAAATATAAATGAAAAATATGTTACCAATTGAAAATAATCCGTGTTCATTTTGGGCACTACATAATGAAATGGAAATAGGAAATCTCTCACACTATTCTTCCCTGAATCGAGTTGGAGTTTAACTCTGCTCAATAATCCCCTAGTGCAGTACTACCTATTAATGTAATAATTTTTATTAAATGCATTAATTTGTGTACATTAGCTAAGTTGAATCACTTCCAATATTTCTTGCAGTATAAATTGTGTGTAGTATATATACTCATTGTATATATCCATCACATTAAATTAATTTTTAAATTTTCTATTCAATTCATCATGATAATTGCCCTTATGAACATTTTGGCATAACTTAGAGAAAAATTGATATATGTGTGGATACATTTTTTTATCCACGTTTCCGGAAGCACGGATCAACCGATTTGAATAACTTAAAAATTTTGGTAAATATAGGTCGAATTGTTTAGGAGACACGGAGCTATTAATGCGACTAATGGTGCATGGCATCGTGACTTGAAATTTTTGAAAAAAATTGTCTTCTTTTAAAAACATGATTTTTTTTTTCATTTTGAAATTTTTTAACCTTTTTTCAAAGCAATCGAACGGCCTTAGCTGTGTAAAGACGAAATATCGAAGCGCGTAAGCGCCGTGTGTAATTTACTAATAAACATTGGTACGAAATCCATGAAAATTTAAACAAAATTTGTACTTATTATTAAAATCTCTTTAAAATATCTGGTAATTTGATGTGCATACGAGTATGTTTAATTATCATTTTTGTCCGCCAAATGTATTTTTTTTTACTTTTTTCATTGGATCTCCGAAATCGCTGGACCGCTTTCCCAAAAATTTAATTAGTTCTTCATATAGTTAATACAAATATAGTGTTTTTAATCGTATGCTTTGTTATCTCAATGTTCTTTGAATTATTCAAATTGGTTGATAAGATCGTCGACGAAAATTCGTATCCGCACACACAAACATCGATTTTTTTCAATGTATATCAAAATGTTCAAAAACTTCTGAAGCGTAAATATATGCAAAAAATTTCATTCTTGATTTTTTATAAAATAATAGTTTTTGAGATAATTAAACATTTGATTTGAATGATATAAGACATTTTTGGCTTGAGAAGTTTATGTTTTCATCAAAAAATCCGATTCGCTAATTTTATGTTTTCTCGACGTTTCAAGCCATTCTGAATCGAATGAGACCAAGTTTGGAAAAAGCATGTGTGTGTGTGTGTATGTGAACAGATTTTTTGCTGTAAATCGACGTTTTCTCAAAAACGGCTTTACCGATTTCAAAAATTTAAAAGCCATTCGATGTATCTCGACAAGGACTATCGTTTGTCAGTTTTGTGCGACGATCGGCCAAGCCGTTTCTTTGAAAAAAAGTGACAAACTTTACGTCCACATTTAAGCGAATAAAACGACTTTGAATTCGATATTTATAATAAATAAGAACATTTGGGACATTTTTATGGTTTTTGTCAAATAACTCAAAAATTTCATATGGAACACCACTTTTCAGTTAGATATTGTGAAACTAGATAAAATTTACTGTATTTCCTTGGAAACACTTTTATAGATTCCGATATAAAAGTTTTGAATAAATCGACTTTGAATTCGATATTTTATTCATCAAATCGATTTTAAAATATCAAAAACTGTTGGAAAGATATTAATTGGGAATGATACTGATTAGTTGAAAATCTACCGAGCCGTTTTCTTGTAATTAACTATTGAAAAAAAGTGTTAAACTTTTCGTCCACATTTAAGCTCATCCTACCGAACCGATTTTAAAAAATCAAAAACTGTTCGAAAGATATCATTTGGGAATGATGCTGATTAATTTTAGGTGAAAATCTACCGAGCCGTTTTCTTGTAATTAACTGTTGAAAAAAATTAAGCCGATTTTCATGGGACTTTTTTTGGCGATCATGGTCTTATAGAACTTACTGAAATATCACGGCTTTACGACAAGTAGTTTAATTTTATAAATTCATCAATGTTTGAGATAATGAGTAGTTTTTTTTTGACGTTTGTTAAAATTAAAATTAGACGATTTACTTAGTATGACGATAGAGTACTTGGTATTAATGAACATACTAAAGCATTAAAGTTCTACGGAACCTGGTTCAATTATAAAAATTGTTGATTTTTGAAAATATGCTTTTAGAAAATACTCCGAGTTAACGTGTTCGTTCGTTCGTTTGCAATGATGTGTAATGAATCCACTCGGAATACTTTTAATCACTCATAAATTAATTTATTTTTTATCGATTAAGTCGATTATTTACACATATCGCGAAGTTCATGTAACTTGCCTCAAGGCAAAATACCAATAACAACTAGTATAATTATATTTGCAGGTTGGTCTTCTAATTCAAATTATTTTTTAATAAATTCTGTAGCTCAAACTATTTCTTATGAAGTTAGATTAATTATTTTAATAATGTCTTTATTATTTTTAATTGAGAGTTTTAGATTGGTTATATTTAATATTTTTCAAAAATATATTTGATTTATATTTATTTTATGGCCTTTAGGTTTAATTCATTTTGTTTCTAGTCTTGCTGAAACTAATCGAACTCCGTTTGATTTTTTGGAGGGTGAAGCAGAATTATATTTCAGTTTCACAAATTTCAACATTTTCAGAAAAAGATTTTATTCAAAATTTTCAAAAATATGCAAAGTTTTATACTTTAAATATAAATTTTAAATTTACAATTCAGTTTAAAAATGTATATATTTCATATGCGTTATTGTAATTATAAGAAGTATATCCGTAATTCGGCACCTCTTGTTAATATAAACATTCTCGAATGCTTTGAGCGATAGGATCCTCACTGTAAATTTTATGAACGATAAAATATATAGTGATTATAATTTTTCATTTGAAAAATGTTTAAAACAATTGTTATTAATCATTGATCAATTGGTCACTGATTTTTTTGCCTCGAATATATAATTCTGGTACGGGAAGCTCCAGCAATTTGCCTTAAGGCACGATGTCATAAACCACTAGTTTTTTTAGTGATCATTTTCTCGCAACACAAAAAGGAATACTAATGGGTAAACACTATTTTGGTCATAACATTATATATTGTCATTCATAATTACTAAATGTTTTTTTTTTTGTATTTTATAAAACAGATTGTAATTGAATCTTGAGATTTTTTCAAACTGTGTTTTATTCAGCAATCAGAAATACATAAAGATTCCTATAAGCTAAATTGGCAATATTTGAGAGCAAAGTCTAAGAACTCCAGCAAGATCTTCTTAGTTTAACAATTGATATGATAATATTATATTGAAGCTAATATAAGACTAAATCTAAAGGCCATTGACGTTTCAATCTTCTTACGCCAAATGATTGGGTAATGTCGACAATTGATGAGGATTCTAGAGAAAATAAAAAAAAAATATTCTTTTTCAGGTTATCGTGCACATAGTCCAAGCAATCCGCAAGGAAGCAGTTCGAGCCCGCGTCGAATGGGAAACATTCCTTTGCACTCCTTCGAATGAGACAGCCCTCGAAGGAAATTCTACGCCGACTCAGCCGAACACTTCGCAGAATCATGCCTCTGTGGCTCAGCACCAAAACAGTAGCACCGAGTCGCTCACCAAGTCACCGGATAATTATTGCTTCGAAATGCTGAGCATGGTGAGGACAAAGAAGAGTATAAAAGGGTTGCACATTTTATAAGTTTTTACGCTCTTCTTTGTTCTTTCAGGTTTTGGCTTTATCGGGGAGCAGTGTAGGAAGGGCTTACCTATCGCATCAGCATGGCCTGCTGCGAGATTTGTTCAGTTTGCTGCATACGGGTAGCGCCAGGGTGCAGAGACAGGTAATAATAATAAATGGTAGTCTGCCCGAAGGCAGGTCCATGGTGTGAGAGCCACCACAACAAATGACTTCCTTGTCCTTCATCCCATTACCACTATTGTCTATCGCCCCTTTTTTTTCATGTATTTTCCTTTCCAAACTTTTGTTTCCATGCTTCTTGATCGTGTGCTTCGGCTTTCAGTTCCCTGTATTTTCTCTTCTCGCGTAAGTCGTCAATCGTCTGCATTCTTCTTCTTCCCATTCCTTTTGTTCCTTCTATTTTACCCCAGAGACAGGTAAAGATAGATTTATTATCTTGTGAAACATTTTTAACTTCACGAAAGAGAAGTTTATGTTTTCGCCAAAAAATCCGATTCGCTCAATGTTTTAAGACATTCTGTATCGAATGAGACCCAATTTGGAAAAAGTATGTATGTGTGTATGTGTTTGTGTATGTGTGAACAGATTTCTCAGAATGATGTGCCTAGTATCGCGAATAACTGAATACTGAATTCATAAACTTGAAAATCTTATATATAAAAATGGAGCTCGATAAAATGATCCACTAAAACTCGAAAACGGCTAAACCGATTTGGCCAGTCTTAGTCTTGAAAAATTTATGCTAATCAGTAGGTTGTCGGAAAGGTGAGGTATTATTTCAAAATCGCGTAGAAACTTTACATTTTCAAGTTTAAAATTTTTGTAGAAGCGCAATTTAAATAAAACAATGGACGGTGGCTAATACGTCAAATGTCAAACATTTTTGACAGATGATGTTCAATCACGTTTAAATGATGGTTTACATTAATATTATTTAATTATGATTACATTGTAGTAAGTAGTTTTCTTTGCAGTTATATTTATACACAAAAACGTTATTAAACGGATTGCAAGTGTTACTAGAAACTCAAAATATCAACTTTTTTGAAATGCTAATATAAAAATTCACTTTTTGGCATATGTTTCTCAAATTCGGTGCTCAGAATTTTATTTGTATAATTATATACTCATTGGCATTTATAAAACATTTTCTATATTATATTATTTTTTATTTATCTTATTTAAATTCAGAACCTAAATTTGGTATCTATCAAAGGGACTTGTTGTCGAATAACATTTTTCCAGTTATAATTTCCCAGAATTTATCGAAGAATAGATAGTAATATATAAAGGTTCGGGGTTAAAAAGGTGCACCACCGATATGTCAAAAATCAGTAAAGTTAAGCATTGTTTAATAACAATATTTAAAAGTAGAGGGAAAAAGATGTGTAACCAGCTATACCCTTGAAGTGATATAATTGGTATGATTTTTAAGTCAAATTGGACTTTTTATTAAATTTACTTTAATTCGCGGAATCTTTTCAAAAAGCAGATCAAAGAAGAAATACTTAATTCATTTCCTATCTCTCCTCGCAGAAGTTTGAAGATTTTCTATAAGCTCATTAGTATTATCAATAAGTCGAAATCAATATCAATCAATAAGTCGAAAGACCAAAAAAAAAAAAGACTTGGATTGGATTATACCATTTTTTCTATAGTTCCAGGTTTCTATAGTAGTAACTTCCAGTTTGATTGTATTGACAAAATATAGACAAACTAATGGGGTTTATTGTTTTGATAATACCTCATTGTATATAGCATTCAAACAACACATCCTTTTACACTTAAAGTATTAGTATTTTTGTTTCTCTAGAAATTGTTTAGAAAATACCTTAATCAGCAAATCAACGTTTGCCGGGTCAGCTAGTATATATAAAAATGATTAAAACTACCTCGAAGGGGGGGTTCACAAATATACTGATACAAATATAAAATTAGGAAAATTTCTATAATCCGTTTAATTCGCAAGATAAAATTTGATGCAATAATCAGTGTCCTTTTGTATTGAAAGGAATTTATAATAATAATAGAATTGAAAGATACGAATTTACTCAGGCTATTTTAGAAAGAATACTTAATACACTAACATCCGGTGCCTACATAAAGTAAATAATATTGTAATTATATAAATATTTAAACTGAATTTTTTCTCAATATTTAAATATTTTCGACATTGATGAAACTTTTTTTGACGATAGATATTCAATAATGCAATACATATATGTTGTGTTTTTTCTTTCTGGAGAGCTTTCCCATAAATTATTGCTCCAATTTATCTAGATTAAATTGCATTATCTAACAACCCTTTCAAAAGCAAAAAATATTCTGTATATATAAAAAATATTTAGTTTAATGATGAGTCGATATACTAGCGACTATATTTGACAATTGCTTATACAATATATATATTGTATAAGCAATTGTCAAATATAGTCGCTAGTATATCGACTCATCATTAAACTAAATATTTTTATAGTTTATAGTTATTACGACCTAAAGAGACATATGTTTTTAGCGATGAGATTTAAAATTTAGTAATTCTAAAAATATTGGTATTTTTAAGGTAAATACCGATATTAATATCGCCGAAAATTAGTTTATAGTTATAACGACCTAAAGAGACATATGTTTTTAGCGATGAGATTTAAAATTTAGTAATTCTAAAAATATTGGTATTTTTAAGGTAAATACCGATGTTAATATCGCCGAAAATTTAGGCGGTTTTTCGGTATACCATGATATACATTAAACCATGATTAGATATCATGGTCTTATATAACATACTAAAATATTGCGGCTTTACGACAAGTCGTTTAGTTTTCAAAATTTTATCAAAATTTAAGAACATTACTACAGTTATTTTGACGTTTGTTAAAGTTAGACCTTTCATCGGCAGTTTGCTCAAAAACACCTGAACCGTTTCAGAAATTTAAAAACCATTCGATGTATCTCGATAAGGACTATCGCCTCTGAGTTTTCTAAGACGATCGGCCAAGCCGTTTCTTCGTAAATTTAGCTCACAATCCTAAATCGATTTAAAAAAATCAAAAACGGTTGCTTGGGAAAGATATTGCTCGGGAATCGTGCTGATTAATTTTGCACAAAGATCAGCCAAGCCATTTCTTAGTAAATAACTGTTGAAAAAATGGTTTCGAAAAAACTGTTTATATTAATAGATATCATGGTCGTAAAGGACATACTGAAATATTTCGGCTCTACGAGAAGTCGTTTAATTTTAAAAATTCATCAAATATAGTCAAAATTTGTGTCAAAGATCGCTTTTGTGATGTGATAAGACAAAATTTGAATTTTGTCTCTTAGCTGCTAGAAATGGTTTTGGAATTACTAGAACAGTGAGTGCCTTGGTACTTAAGAAGGGTAATAATTTCTCACAAAATATAAAAACTGCATAAAATTAAAAGAATTATTATTTATCCTCATCAATCTGTAAACTTTCTGAAGTTTTTATAAATGATTCCAAACACTCTCCTTCTCTTTCATTTTTCAAAAACTGCCTTATTAAGTGATGATGTCTTCAGTTTTGCTAAAGTTTTTGCTTGATGTCATGATAGTGACAGGTCTGATAGACGCTTCTCTCTTAAAATTTTTAAGTCATCTTTAATTAGTTTTAGTTTTGAAACATAAAATAAAGCTATGAAGAGATATATTTAGGCACTTGCTATTGTAACTGATTTAATTGAATATCTCTATCTAAATCTTATATATAATAATGGAGCTCGGCTTTTAAGTTTTTATCAATTGTTGAAAGTTTTACCTAATTATTTAAATCTCAATTTCGGTTGATTAAGTCAATTATTATATATATCGGAAAATTCATGCGGCTTACCTTAAGACAAATTACCACTTATGTTTAATTTTTTTCTATCAAGGTGACATCACTCCTTCGTCGCATATTACCAGACGTTGCACCATCGGCTTTATGTGCAGTCATTTCCGTTGCAAAACTACCTCCTCAAGATTATGCAGTCGTTGCATCCGAAAACGACGAAGAATTCGATATGCACCAGTAAGTATAATTATTATCATAACTCTATAAACAAATAACATCTATTATCATCACCTATTTTTCCCAGGATGGGTATCCTCGATGTCTTCCTCGGCTGCATTGCCAAGGCCCTAAGAGTCCAAGTGAAGACCCAATCAAGAAGTGTCATCGTGGCAACTTTATCGGCCTATTTAGGCAGTTCAATTGATGCAACCACTACCAGTCACCATCAAGACGATGAAGATGAAGAAGCCCAAGGCGATGAAGACAGGTTGAGAAATGTTACAAATGATGATATTCCGGTGCACAATGGCAGATGGTGGTTGGCTGGTGACGTTGCTGCAAAACAAGCCGAAGGGATTATTAAATTGTTGAAGGATATGGCAATGGTAAGTGGTGGTAATTGATACATGATTTTTTTAACTTGCCGAGAGAGAAGTTTATGTTTTTGCCAAAAATGCTTCAAATATTTTCAATGTCAAACAGTGATAAACATTTTTTTGTAATTTTTTCCATTTATTTCTACAATCTAACTATATTTCTATAATTCAAACAATCCTAAAAAATTTCCTTAACAAACTTCAGAAAGATTTATCTAAATTAGAAAAGCCTGATTTGCTAATTAACTTCCCGATGGAGAAGTTTATGTTTTCATCAAAAAATCCGATTCGCTAACTTTATGTATTCTCGACGTTTCAAGCCAATCTAAATCGATTGAGACCAAATTTGGATATAGAATGTGTGTGTGTCTGTGTGAACAGATTTTTTGCCGTAAATCGACGTTTTCTCAAAAACAGCTGGAACGCCTGAAGCGATTTCAGAAATTTAAAAGTCATTCGATGTATAGCGTTTATCAGTTTTGTGTGACGATCTGCCAAGCCGTTTCTTTGTAAATCGCAGAAAAGTCAAAAATTTTTCGTCCACGTTTTAGCCCACAATTTTAAATCAGTTTTGAAATTTTAAAAACTGTTCGAAAGATAGTTGGGAATGATACTGATTAGTTTTAGGTGGAAATCTACCCAGCCGTTTTCTTGTAATTAACTGTTGAAAAAAAATTTAAGACGATTGTTATGGTGGAACTTTTTTTGGCGATATATATCATGGTCTTCTATAACATACTAAAATATTACGGCCCCTGGCAAATCTTTTAATTTTAAAAATTCGTCAAAATTTAAAAAAATGACCATTGTTTTTTGACTTTTCATCAAAATTACCACTTTCATCGATGTTTTCTCAAAAACGGTTGAGTTGATTTCAAAAATTTAAAAACCATTCTATGAACCTTTATAAGCACTCGCGCTGTTCAGAGTTTTGATAAGATCGGCTTAGCCGTTTCTTTGTAATTAGCAGAAAAGTGGAAGTGGATTCAAAAACTATTCAAAAGATATTATTTGGGAATTATTTTTGGCTGATTAGTTTTGGACAAAGATCGGCCAAGCCGTTTTTTCGCAATTTCACACATGAAAGCGTATGTTATAAATGCGTACTTCGAAGACATGTTATCATAAGATTCTTTCTTGCTTTGATTATATGTAAGATACACCTGATAGCACAGCAATTTGATAGACATTTTCACAATTATTCCTACCAAGAAGACAAGTATAACTTACTCGTGTATACTTACAATTAGCACCGCGATTGTGGAATTTGGCAAAACTGATTACCCTGATTTTTTTACGATTTTTTTGCTGTCGATTGGTGTAAAACATAAAATTTTCTACTCTTTCCGTTCTCGAGATAAATGGGTGGGGCCAAATTCTGTGCTGACTAAACGCATAGTCAGCACCGACTCCTCTAAAAATGCATTTTTTTTTTTTTACTATCCTTATCAGTGTTTTTTTTTGCTGTCGAATTGTGCAATTATTTTTCGGAAAAGTTTTATCCATCATAGATTTTCACGCATCGAGAAGTTCGAAAATTTGCAAATTTAAAAAAATTGTCAGTTTTGAAAATGCCCAATTTTTTGCTTGCTTACTTAAATATAAAACAAACAAAAATTCAAAAACTGATTTTTAACCCCTTCTCAGAGAGGTTGTCATTTTTTAAACTGGTCAATCTTTTAAAAAACTAATAATTGTTTCGGAATCTGTGATTTGTTTGCTTTGTGATACAAAAAAGAAAAATTTAAAAAAATCAATTTTAATTTTGGTTTTTCGCGTAGTATGGAAACGGATCGCAATCCGTTTGTGATAAGTAAAATGGTGCATTTAGATCTATGCATTTCTACTTAAAATAATCTAAAGAGACCACTTAGTTAACAATTTTTCAATATATGTACTTTTTCAACGCATTCGAGATAATATGTTTATTGAAGTAAATGATTGTGCAAAATTGGCCTGTTTACTTGATTTTCTATGGTTTCGACGTTTAACATGACGATAAAGTTTATGCAGTCCTACGAAAATTGTTTGAATTATATAAATTAATTAGAATTTGGAATAATAAAGTGCAATTTTTGAACCTACAAGCACACGTGTCTGTGCACCGTAATTAATATAATTACAGATATTATTTTAAATGTGTTTGGAAACCTTCGACTGGAAACCGCAATGTTTACTCAATTGTAAGCAAAAACTTTATTTCCGCAATAAACAGCTGGAACTTTTATCTAAATAATATCTGAATCTCGAATTCTATTGAAATTGAAATGCTATTGGCGGAAGCCTGCGTTAGAAGCTTCAAAAAATCTCTCTTTTTGAAGAATTTTTGGAGAAAAAAATAAATATTTAATTGAAACGAAACTGTCAGGTTTTATTGTTATATATCTCAACATTCTTCTCAATTTTGTTCATTAAAATATTTGTTATAATATGCCGGGTACAAGCATTTTGCCGATGCGCCACGAGCCTGCCGGTGTCATTTGACGGGAAAGATGCCGTCGATTCCATCCGAATCAAAAAAATCAAAGTAGTATAGATTCTAGTTGATTTAAAAAAATCCAGAAAAAAATGAGAAATTTAGCAATTTTTTTGCAACTTGAAAAATTATTACACTACATTTTGCCTTAAGGCAAATAGACACTTTCAACTAGATTTTAAATGAAATGTTTGTTTCAGGGTAAGCTTTCGGAAGCATGGGCCTATGTCACAAAATCAGCCATAGCTCAAGCGATTTTGAATTTAACACGACTTGACGACAAGTATCGTTCACCACAGGCTTGTCTTAAAACGCCAACGTTGTGGTTGGCCCTTGGTGCACTTTGTGTGTTAGACGAAGAGCACGTTGAAAAGTGAGTATTGGAACTGTAGTATCAAGTATCAAATTATTTTCTAATCTGATGTTTTCCATTAGGTTATCATCTGGCCGATGGAGCACCACCAATGCACCACAACGGTCTATTCAAGCATCAGAACAACAAGCACCAGCACCTGCACCTGGGCCAACTTGTGCAAATCATGATGATGGAGAAACCAGGGCTCTGGTTTTGTGTACCGAGTGCGGAGCTCTTTGTGCAGAATGTGATCGTGTTTTGCATCTACCCAAGAAAGCCAAAGATCACATGAGAACTGTAAGATAAAATTCACTTTGTTATCGATTCAGTATCGATATATTTATTTTTTTATTATTTATTTATTAACATCCCGAAGGAGAAGTTTATGTTTTCATAAAAAAAATCCGAATTGCTAATTTTATGTTTTCTGGACGTTGCAAGCCATTCTGAATCGAATGAGACCAAATTTGGAAAAAGTATGTGTGTGTGTGTGTGTGTGTGCATGTGAACAGATTTTTTGCCGTAAATCGACGTTTTCTCGAAAACGGCTGGGCCGATTTCAAAAATTTAAAAGCCATTCGATGTATCTCGATGAGAACTATCGTTTGTCAGTTTTGTGGGACGATCGGCCGAGACGTTTCTTTGTAAATTGCAGAAAAGTGAAAAAATTCCACTTCGTGCACGTTTTAGCCCGCAATTCTGAACCGATTATGAAAATTCAAAAACCGTTCGAAAGATATTGGTTGGGATTCGTGATGATTAGTTTTTTGTCAAGATCGGCCGGGCCATTTTCTTGTAATAAAGTGTTAAAAAAATTTTGTCGACGATTTTTATTATTATTTTTTTGACGATAGATACCATAGTCTTCTAGGTCATACTAAAATATTACGGCTCTACGACAACTCGTTTAGCTTTAAAAATTCGTCAAAGTTTGCAAAAATTAGTATGGTCTTTTTGGCATTTGTCAAAATTATAATTTTTATCGACGTTTTCTCAAAAACGCCTGAACCGATTTTAGAAATTTAAAAGCCATTTGATGTATTTCGGTGAGGACTATCGTTCGTTAGTTTTGTGCAACGATCTGCCAAGCCGTTTCTTTGCAATTTGAAAAAAAGTGTTAAACTTTTCGTCCACATTTAAGCTCATCCTACCGAACCGATTTAAAAAAATCAAAAACTGTTCGAAAGATATTAGTTGGGAATGGTACTGATTAATTTTAGGTGAAAATCTACCGAGCCGTTTTCTTGTAATTAACTGTTGAAAAAAATATTAAGACGATTTTCATGAAACTGTTTTTGGCGATATACATCATGGTCTTATAAAACTTACTGAAATATTATGGCCTTACGACAAGTAGTTTAATTTTAAAAATTCGTCAAACTTTGGTAAAATTATTATCGTTTTTTTTTAAAGTAGGATTGATGAAGTATATTATTTACACTTTTTTTTTGATAAAGTCGATTATTCACACATATCGGGAAGTTCATGTAACTTGCCTCAAGGCTAAATACCAAACCAACTAGTTCCAAATTTGGTCTCCTTCGATTCAGAATGGCTTCAGAAATGTCCAGGAGAAAACATAAAATTAGCGATTCGGATTTTTTTATGAAAACATAAACTTTTCCTTCGGGAAGTTAATTAACTTTGGTTTGGTTCGATTCAGTGACTAATATTTTTTTTACCTTACCTAGGTTTGTAAAGAAGAAGTAGACGCCATCCGTGTCGATCTCCACGAAGGTTGCGGTCGTGCCAAGTTGTATTGGTTATTAGCCTTAACCGATGCCTCCAGATTGAAGGCTCGCGTTGAATTCCGGGATCCTGGTAGCGGCCCTGGTGGTGCAATAGGCCCTGGTGGTTTCGATCCGTCTGGACAACATGTTACAGCAGGTTATGCAGCGACACAAGGCGTGTGCAGGTTCTGCAAAACACAAGGAGACACCGGGCTGTTGGCTATAGGGAATGTTTGTGCCGATGAAGAATGCCAGGTAATAAAATACTATTTACAATTGTCAGAATTTTTTTTATCAACTTCGATATTTTTTAAAATTTTTCAAAATTTATTTCTTTGTTAAAAATGATGAAAAATTTCGAAAATTAGAATTTTTTGAAACTTTAAATTTTTTGTGAAAATTATGAATTTTTTTTTAATATTTCGAAATATTCTCAAATTTTCTTAATCTTATTCCATAGTACAAATATTGATTTAATGAAAAATTATTTCTATATTATTCGTGGTTTCTATAAATATTTGAAGTTATCGAAATGAAAAATATTTTTATAGACAAAACAGATATTACAACTGTTCAAAGAATGAGATTATATCGCCAGCGAAAAAGTAAAAAAAATACCATCAGTCATTTAATGTATGTTAATTTTAATTACATGAAGTTCATCAAACACAATTATTGCATAATGAGTGTAATTGCGAAAGCAATATTTCCTTAGGAGTTGTTTAACATATGCATTTTTATAGAGATTAAAAAATATTAAAGCAACACAGCTTTATTCTAACATGCCAAAGATATATCTTTTTTAACTTCCCGTAGGGTAGTTATAGTAATGGGCCGAAAATCGAAATTGAAATTTTTTACATTTTTCGACGTTTTGAAGGTTTCTGAACATTTTGGCATACCTTAGAAAAAATGGATGTGTGTGTGTGTTTTGTATGTCCGCATTTTTTCGTCCACGTTTTCGGGCGCACGGATCAACCGATTAGAATGATTCATTTACCATTCGATCCCTATTGATAGAAAGATGTTTTGATTAGTTTTTGGCAAAGGCAGATCCAGCCGTTACGGAGATACGGAGCAAAGAGTGCAGAAAATAGAAATCGACTTTTTGAGAGAACGGAGTATCCGATTTGAATGATCTAAAAAACATTCAATTAATAATGATTGAGAGAAGTGTTTATTAGTTTTTGGCAAAGGCAGGTCCCGCCATTTCAAAGATACAGAGCTAAATGTGCAAAAAATGGCAGTTTTTGAGTGAACTAAGCGTCCGATTTGAATGATCTAAAAAACTTTCTGCTTGTATTGACAAAACAATTGCTTTCGAGGATAAAAAATTATTACATCTTTTTTTATTTTCCATAAAATATTTTTGTAATTTTCGATTAAAAATTCAAACTAGTGGGGTGCATGGCATCATGCCTTAAGGCAAATTGCTGGAACTTCCCGTTCCAAATTTTTTTTTTTTTTTAATTTATATTTTTGCAAAAAGTTTACTCTGAAAAAATTAGATTTTTGAGAAACTATAAATTTTTGAAAAAAATTTACTTTTTTGAAAAAAAAAGACTTTTTGAAGAAGTTTATTTTGTAATATTTTGGAAGTTCTGAACTTTTTTTCAAAGCAATCGTACTGCTTTAACTGCATAGTGACGAAATATCGAAGCGCGTAAGCGCCGCGTCGCCGTCTAACGGATAAACATTGGTACACGGAACCCATAGGAATGTAAACAAAATTTATACTTATTGTTAAAATCTCTATAAAATATCTCATAATTTGATGTGCATATGTCTAATGATCATTTTTGATCTCCGAAACCGCTAGACCTGCCTTCAAGAAAATTGATCAATTCATCATTTTGTCAATAAAAGTATAATGTTTTTTGAATTATTAAAATCGGACGCTCCGTTCTCTCAAAAACTGATTACCGTTTTTGGCACTTATTGCCTCGTATCTTCGGAACGGCTAGACCTGCCTCCGCCAAAAACTAATCAGCCGTCTCCTTATCAATATGAAACAAATGTTTTTTGAATTCAAATAGGTTGATCGGTGTTCCCGAAATCGTCGACGAAAATTTGTATCCGCACACACATGCACACACGCACACACACACATACATCTATTTTTTCTAAGGTATGCCAAAATATTCAGAAACCTTTGAAACGTAAAGATATATAAAAATTCTCATTTTCGATTTTTTGCGATTACTGTAACTACTCTGCGGGAAGTTAAAAAATTGCCCAGGCTAAGCACAGTCTAAGCGCCACTCTGGTACAAATGTTTACCCAAGTGCGTTTAGAGCACTTTTCCAATTTTGTGGAAACTATTGAAAAATGTAAAAATGCCGCCAAGCTAAGCACAGTATAAGTGAAAATGTCGCACAGAATTGTTTGCAAATGCGTTTAGACTGTGACTATACAGGAGCACTTTTTCAATTTTGTTTAAATTAGGCAACTTTTTTTTTTTTTTTTGAAATTGAATTCGAAATTAAATGACGATTGTTAATGTTCTGGAGATAAATTGATTTATGATTTATGATTTACATTTGATTTGCTCAGATATAACAATAAGATAGTAAAAATAATGAAAGTTACAGTATTTGTAATAATATATTTGAAAACGTTTAAAATTCCTCAAATATTTCATTACGGTAAGGGAAGTTCCAGCAACTTGCCTTAAGGCACGATGCCATACCCACTACTAGTTTCTAATATACTTTGTGTATCTGTTACAGGAACTTGCTCGCAATGCCTGCTGCAAGCGTCTACCGTGCGGTCATCTATGCGGAGGGATAGCAAACGAGCAGCGCCATCTGCCGTGTCTGCGCGGATGCGATGTTCCGATTGCTGGGAGCAGCCAGATTAAAACTCCTGATGATCACTGCAAGGTAAAATAAATATATATTATAATATATACATATATATGGGTGTTACATCGTGAACAAAAATAATTTTAAAAATCCCAGACAATTTAAAACTATGCTTGCGGACCACATTAATACTTTAAAACACAATATAGACTTATGGCCGAAGTGAGCCATTTAATATTAATAAAAGATGTTCAGAAATCAAACCGTAATTAACTGTTGTAGACTCGATAATAATGTGAGTTTATTGATAACTCAATTTACAACTGAACTGATATGATATAAATTTTGATATCAATTTATTAGCCCGACAATTGATTGCTCACTAAAAACCGCGAGAACCATTTTACCATCGTGTAAACAATAATCTAGCTACAGCTTGCTAGATCCGACATTCGCATCAGCGTAGCTACAAGTGTGCTGTGTAGTTTAGTCATCACATTGGCGTCAATCAACTGTCAAGAACATGTTCATTCCGTCACAGACTTTTTTTTAACTTTCCGTGGGGTAAGCTATAGTAATCGCAAGAAAATCTAAATGAAATTTTTATTATATCTTTACGTTTCAAAGGTTTCTGAACATTTTAGCATAGTTTAGAAAAAATAGATGTGTGTGTATATGTGCGTGCATGTGTGGGTGTGTGCGGATACAAATTTTCGTCGACGATTTCGGGAGCACTGAAAAACCGATTTGAAAAATTCAAAAAACATTCGATTCGTGTTGATAAGAATACGTGCTGATTAGTTTTTGGCAAAGGCAGGTCTGGCCGTTCCGAAGATACGGGGTAAAAAGTGCCAAAAACAGTAACTCAGTTTTTAAGAGAACGGAGCCTTCGATTTTACTAATTCAAAAACATTTTGACAAAATGAACAACTGGTGAAATTTTTGGGAAGGCAGGTCTGGCGGTTTTGGAGATCTAATAAAGAAAGTAAAATACGATGAAATTTGGCGGTCAAAAATGATCATTAGACATATGCAAAAACAGGCATGTTTCAAATTATCAAAATTTGGATAAAAATCGATTTTTTAAATTTATTGTAAATTTAGAAATTTTTGTAAGAAATCGATCTTTTTTTGTAAATTTATCAAATTTATTAATGTTTTTTTTAAAAATGAACAATTTCGAAAATTAGTTTTTTTTGAAACTTTTTAATTTTATTTGAAAATTTCGAAATATTCTCAAATTTTTGTAAGAAATCAGTTTTTTTAAATGTTGATAATTTTGAAATTTTTAAAATTCAGATGTTTTTTGAAAATGATGTAAAATTTCGAATTAGAATTTTTTGAAACTTCATTTTTTTTTAATTTAGATTTTTTTTTAAAATCAGATTTTTTCTTTGAAATTTCTAAATTTTCTCAAATTTTTGTAAGTGTTTTTTACAAATTTTAATATTTTTTCAAATTTTTCAACATTTAGATGTTTTTTGAAAGTGATGAAAAATTTCGAAAATTAGAATATTTTGAAACTTTGAATTTTTTTTTTTAAATTCCGAAATGATCTCAAATTTTTGTTATAAAGCGTTTTTTTTAATTCTGATATTTTTCCACATTTTTCAAAATTTAGATGTTTTGAAAATTATGTAAAATTTCGTTATTTGAATCATTCAAATCGGCACTTCGTTCTCTTAAAAACTGAGTTACCGTTTTCGGCACTTTTCGCCCCGTATCTTCGGAACGGCTAGACCTGCCTTTGCCAAAAATTAATCAGCACGTCTCCTTATCAATACGAATTGAATGCTTTTTGAATTATTCAAATCGCTTCCCGAAATCGTCGACTAAATGTTGTATCCGCATACAAACACTTGCACATCCAAAGATATACCAAAATGTTCAGAAGCCTTTGTAATGTAAAGATATTATAAATAAGACCCACGTTATTAGACTAGCTAATATATATTGAATGTAATATACTAATTGTAATATTTAAAAATGAAGAAATGAAGTTCTTCATTGTGTATATCACAAGCATGAAACGCTGTTACGTTTATTTAACAAAAACAAAATACTTAATAATATATTATTTACTTCCCGAAGGCGAGGTATGTTTCAACGAAAATTTCTTGGGATGGAGCACAAGCCAGATATGAAATTGCACCGTCCACCAGCAGCAGCGACATTAAGATACCCAGACCGAGATTGACACAGGTAAAAATGAAACATTTCTAAATTGTTTTCGAGTATGAATAAACAAATACCGATTCATTCGTAATTTATTTATTAGGATGGGGAGGACATGTGCATGATCTGCTTCACGGAGAATTTATCTTGTGCTCCTAGCCTGCAATTGGCTTGCGGCCACGTCTTCCATGCGCACTGCTGCAGGAACATTCTGTCGAACAGGTGGCCGGGGCCCAGGATCACTTTTGCATTTTCCCAATGCCCAATCTGCAAGGTAAATTAATAAATGACTCTTGATAACGACTAGGGTTTGTCGGTTTTCAAAAACCGATTTTAAAAACCGTTTTTTTGGCGAAAATTATGGAATTCGAAAACCGGTTTTTAGCGAAAAAAGTCGGTTTCTACTGTATACGTGGAAAATGACAAATATAACCAAATATAAAATATAGATCAAAGCATTTTGGTTCTTGAAATCATATCGGTTCAATAGCATTTGATATCTTATCAGTCTGCAATGGTTCCCAGAAGGGTTTTGTATATATTAATTTAGATTTCTATACCAGTGTATATATTAATTTAAATCAGTGTAACTTCTTCTTGAAGAAGTAACTTCCTCTATTCAAACTATTCAAAAAAAAGTTTTAAACCATAGAACCCACAAAAAACAAAAAGCTTAGAATTATTATATACAAAGGACACGTCTAAGTAGCAATTCAATAGCCGTTCTCAGTTTACTGAAATCATATTTTATTAAACAAAAAAAAAAACAATTAGAATGTTTAAAATTAATTAATTAAAATAGCTCGGAACACACAATACCCGAGTTTAGCTTAATTGTTTTTAAAACTATAATTGATATTAACAAGTATGTATCAACATGTATCTAATATTTTTTATTTTATTTTAACTTAATGATTTTTTTTATTTAAAAATGTAATATTTTTATTTATTCGAAAATTTTGCTTTCACTATCATAAAAATATTTTCATTCTTATATGTGAAAATGATGCATGAATAACGAATAATTATTTTCAAAGTTATTTAATCAAGATAAACTATTATTTTTTAATTCTACTAATTGAAATTAAAATAATTTTCAAATAGTGCTCTAAATTACACTAAATTTGCTGATAAATTACAGAATATTCGAGCAAAAATTTATTTTTTATATAAAATTCGAAAACCGGTTAAAACCGTTTTTTTAGTAAAATTAAAATTCGAAAACCGGTTTTCTGAAATGTCGGTTGTTGTATAAACCCTAATAACGAAATTATTAGACTTTTGTTTTATTTATAAACTTGTGGTGCATGGCATCGTGCCTTAAGCCAAATTGCTGAAACTTTCCGTACCAAAATTAAATACTCGAGGAAAAAAAGAGTGCGCGTAAGGTTCAAACGCGATTTAAGTAAAACTAATTTGCTACTGTACAAAATGGCATTTAAGTGAAAACTAGTGGGGCGCATGGCATCGTGCCTTAAGGCAAATTGCTGGTACTTCCCGTACCAAATATTATTATTTTTTTAAAAACGATTAACATTTTTGAAAAAATTTTACTTCGAAAAAACTAGATTTTTGAGAAACTAGGAATTTGACAAAAAATTATTTTTTTGAAAAAAAAATTTTTTTTCTTTATTTTACATATTTTGGAAATTCTGAACTTTATTTTAAAGCAATCGTACTGCTTTAACTGCATAGAGACGAAATATCGAAGCGCGTAGCGCCGCGCCGCATTCTAACGGATAATCATTGGTACGGAACCCATAGGAATGTAGACAAAATTTATACTTATTGTTAAAATCTCCATAAAATATCTGATAATTTAATGTGCATATGTCTAATGATCATTTTTAACCGCCAAATGGCTCATTTTTTTTTACTTTTTTTACTAGATCTCCAAAACAGCTAGACCTGCCTTCATGAAAATTTGATCAGTTCTTCATCTTGTTTGTTAATACAAGTAAAATGTTTTTTGAATTATTCAAATCGGACGCTCCGTTCTCTTAAAAACTGAGCTACCGTTTTTGGCACTTTTTGCCCCATATCTTCGGAACGGCTAGACCTGCCTTTGCCAAAAACTAATCAGCACGTCTCCCTATCAATATGAATCGAATGTTGTTTGAATTATTTAAATCGGTTGATCGGTGTTTCCGAAATCGTCGACGAAAATTTGTATCCGCACACACACACACACACACATCCATTTTTTCTAAGGTATACTAAAATGTTCAGAAACCTTTGAAACGTAAAGATACATAAAAAAAATTATTTTCGTTTTTTTTGCGATTACTATAACTTGCCCTACGGGAAATTAGTAAATACATCATATAACAATTTTGAATAATATTTATTAGTTATATGGTAACACTCGTGATGCACACATTTATTAGTGTCGAAAATCATTATACATATTTATATAATGATAAATTATAAATTAAATTATATTTATAAAAATTAGTCATACTTGAAATATGTCCTGATCGGTTTGTCATTGTAATTATCATTTAGGACTTGGACCTTTATTAGAGAAATGAAGTAATTGCTGATTAATAAATTCTATAATATTCGTTCACACAGTGTATTATGTTAAACAACGCCTAAACAAATATTGTTTTCACAATTTTTTTTTTCATGTAATAATTGTTTGAAGAACTTCATGTAATTAAAATTAACATACATTCTGTTAAGGCGCGAAGCTTAAAAATTACTTCGACGTCTAACTGGGTGTTGTCGATTTACTTCTCCTAACCACTACACTTTTAAATTTGTTCTATAATTGAACTTTTGGTGTGATCGGTGATTATTTAAGTAAAAGGCGACGTTTGATATTAATATTTATTATAAAAAAAATATGGTGAATATAATGGCATCAGATAGTTGGTGTTTCTATACTGAGCTCTAAACTTATACTAAATAAAAATTATTAAAAATTAACATTAACAATATTAGCCCCGCCCGTAAGAGGCGGGTTACATTAATTTATAAATCTCAGGGAAATGATTTCTTAGACTTATTTCAAGTCATTTTGCAGACACATAAAAAACTATCGACGCGGATGTAGACGGTCCAGACACATAAATTAAGCTCAAAAATTAAAATATCTTATATTACTAATGCATTTATACTTGAAAGTGTGAAATGGGCCGAAAATCGAAATTGAAAATTTTTACGTTTCTCGACGTTTTGAAGGTTTCTGAACGTTTTGCCATACTTCAGAAAAAATGGATGTGTGTGTGTGTATGTATGTATGGATACAAATTTTCAGTCACGTTTTCGGGCGCACGGATCAACCGATTTGAATGGTTCAAAAAACATTCGATTCCCATTGATAGGGAAAAGAGCTGATTAGTTTTCGGCAAAGGCAGGCCCAGCCATTTCGAAGATACGCAGCTAAATATGTAAAAAATGGCAGTTTTTGAGGGAACTAAGCGTCCGATTTGAATGATTCAAGGAACTTTCTGCTTGTTTGAACAAAATAATTGATTTTGGAAAAAAAAATTTGTTTCAAAAAAATTTTTTTTTAATTTTTTTTTTCAAAAAAATTTTTTTGTATACTGAAAATAATTCAGATTTTATTTTTAATTCTGACTATAGTTCTAATATTCTTTAAACAAATAATTTCAACTTTGCAATTCAGTTTATATAATTCTTATAAATATTAGACAATATTACAATGTTAATAATAATCTATTTGAAAACATTCAATATTCCTCGAACATTAGTTACGGTATGGGAAGTTCCAGCAATTTGCCTTAAGGCACGCTGCCATGCGCCCCACTAGTTTAGATTTTTATTTATGTGTTTATTAATAAACTATTTTTCCCCAGGCTGATATCGTGCATGAGTACCTCGAAGATTTGATTACGCCGATAAGAGAGTTGTATGCAGATGTGAAGAGGAAGGGCCTGATGCGTTTGAAGTACGAAGGTCTTTTGGATCCTGAAACCGAGACCCTTAAGCCGAGTGTTGCGAGCCGGTATAAAGGGGATGCGACCGCTTATGCAATGGAACGATACGCATATTATGTTTGCTATAAATGCAACAAGGTGAGTAAGGACAAGAATTAGTAGTAGTATTGTAATCTTGATTTAAATCAAATTTGGAAACATTTGTATTTAGAATTTTGGTATGTTTTTTGGCTTTGATATTCTTACTTGATGTTGTTTTTTGGTACTGAAATTCACTAACTAAATGTTAGTAATGTTAAATTTATTATTATTATCATATAATAGTGTGGCATCGTGCCTTAAGGCTGGAACTTACTGGCCCGTAACGAAATATTCGAAAAATTTTAAACGTTTTCAAATATATTATTAATACTGTAACTTTCATTATTTTTCCTATCTCGTTATATCTGAGCAAATAAAATGTAAATCATAAATCATAAATCAAAAATCAATTTATCTCCAGAACATTAACAATCGTCATTTCATTTCGAATTCAATTTCAAAAAAATAGTTTGCGCCTAATTTACACAGTAGAGTACCTTTCTAATTATCTCTCTAGATATTAATTTTGCTCATTAGTAGAGTCCTTTTTTATACTTGACAAATATTTCATAAGTTAAATGGTTTCATTGTCAATTTGCTTGACAATAGAAAAAATAAACAAAAATACCAGAAAAATTTGAAAAAAGGGACTCTACTGACCAACAAATTGATTTTTAAGTAAAAATCTAGAAATATATACTAGAAAAATTATAAAAAGGGACTCTACTAACCAACAAATTAATTTTTAAGCAAAGATTTAAACAAAAATACTAGAAAAAATTAAGAAAGGGACTCCGTTGACCAACAAATTTATTTTTAAGAAAAGATTCAAACAAGAAAACTACAAAAACTTGTAAAAAGGGACTCTACTGACCAACAAATTGATTTTTAACGAAATACCTAAACAAAAATATTAGAACAATTTATAAAAATGGACTTTACTGACGATTGTGTTTGAAGAACTTCATGTAATTAAAATTAACATACATTCATTGACTGCGTATATTTGTTTTTACTTTTTCGCTGCCGATATAAATTCATTCTTTGAACAGCTGTAATATCTGTCTTGCCTAAAAAATATTTTCCATTTTAATAACTTCAATAATTTATAGATACTACGAATAATATTCTAATCATGAACTTACGTTTAGTACACGGAATAAATGTTTAATTTGTTTTATTATTTTCAAGCAACAGGATAAATTCTTTTGATTCAGGCATTTTTAATTTAATCAACATTTGTACTACGATGTGACTTTAAAATGTTATTTATCTATGTCGATGCCGGTACGCATACAACGACAGATCTCTATTCACATCATTAGATGTATTAGATGTATTAGATATACAATTTACAATTTACAATTTTACAATTAAATAACAAAACAACCAAATATAAAATACAAATAAAGGAGTGCTAAACTAATTTAATTTTGTATCTTGATTTTATGAAACTTGATATTACGTCTTCGTTTATAGCATCTTCAAAAGTTTTGGTCCTGTATATCCATTAATTTGCAGAAATTATTTAAAAGTTTAGAAGCTTTTCTAAAAAAAAGAGCAGTATCAAAGACGAAGAAAAATATTTCACAGCATACACGACGACTAATGACAATAGAACCCGTATAGAAATGATTTCATCGAGAGCGAATGACGAACCGTTTTGGGCGTAACGCACTTCCGTTGCATTCGTACGGATTTACACCCTAGTCGCGCGTACAGAAGTTTTACTTCAAAAGATAAATTTGAACATATAGATTTTTTTCAATAAATTATAGTTATGTATGAACGTTTTTATTACAACATAATCTTTTTTTGTGAAAATTGTTTTCTACACGCCGAGACCTTCTAAACGATACCCCACATGATACAGAAAATACAATCTAAAATTTTTGAAGTAAAACTTTTTTAGACACCTCTGCTACAATTCGCAAAAAGTGTGATCGAATGGCATAGTGAAGTGTCCTGGGCTGGTTGGTAATGTCTTTGGATGTAGGTTCTGGATCACCAGTACGACCAGGAATGGTAATGGTGGGCTAGACCCGAGCGGTGAACAGTTGAATAGTTGTTGAAATATTATATTTGTGATGTGGACTCTCCAGAGTCCATTGGTAGTTTGATAGGCCTTTAGGACGAACAGCGATTTGATAGTAATTTGTAAACACACTTCTTACTTTGAATTATACTTTTATTAACTTCCCGTAGGGTAAGTTATTGTAATGGGCCGAAAATCGGAATTGAAAATTTTAACATTTCTCGATGTTTTGAAGGTTTCTGAACGTTTTGGCATACCTCAGAAAAAATGGATGTGTGTGTGTGTATGTATGTATGGATACAAATTTCCAGTCACGTTTTCGGGCGCACGGATCAACCGATTTGAATGGTTCAAAAAACATTCGATTCCTATTGATAGGGAAAAGAGCTGATTAGTTTTTGGCAAAGGCAGGTCCAGCCGTTTCGGAGATACGGAGCAAAGAGTGCAGAAAATAGAAATCGAATTTTTGAGAGAACGGAGTATCCGATTTGAATGATCTAAAAAACATTCAATTATTAATGATTGGGAGAAGTGTTTATTAGTTTTTGGCCCAGCCATTTCGAAGATACGGAGCTAAATATGTAAAAAATGGCAGTTTTTGAGAGAACTAAGCGTCCGATTTAAATGGTTCAAAAAACTTTCTGCTTGTCTTCACAAAATAATTGATTTTGGAAAAAAAAAAATGTTCCAATTTTTTTTTCTTTTTTTTTTTTTCAGTTTTTTGTATATCGAAAATATTTCAGATTTTATTTTTAATTCTGACTATAGTTCTAATATACTTTACAAATAATTTCAATTCTGCAATTCAGTTTATATAATTCTTATAAATATTACACAATGTTACAATATTTATAATAATGTATTTGAAAACATTCAGTATTCCTCGAACATTTCGTTACGGTACGGGAAGTTCCAGCAATTTGCGTTAAGGCACGATGCCATAATTGCCTCAAGACAGAATTCCACTTACAGCTAGTTATTAACTATTTTTACAATCAATAATTGTTGATAACCTTTTGGTTTTCATATCGGCAAAGACTACATTTTACTGAATACTATGTCTGTCAAACTTACTCCAAGTTTGATTCCAAGCTTGACTGCCTGTCTAACTTTTGTCTAACTCTTATATACTAACTTATTGTTTACAACCTATTTACAAAATCCAACAGTAAGCACTTCCGATGTCCGCGTAACCTACATATAACTAGCAACGCGTTTTGTAATTATTAAACAAAACTAGCTGTAAGTGGAATTCTGTCTTGAGGCAATTATGGCATCGTGCCTTAAGGCAAATTGCTGGAACTTCCCGTACCGTAACGAAATGTTCGAGGAATACTGAATGTTTTCAAATAGATTATTATAAATATTGTAACATTGTGTAATATTTATAAGAATTATATAAACTGAATTGCAGAGTTGAAATTATTTGTAAAGTATATTAGAACTATAGTCAGAATTAAAAATAAAATCTGAAATATTTTCGATATACAAAAAACTAAAAAAAAAAAAAAAAAAAAAAAAAAAAAAAAAAAAAAAAAAAAAAAATGGAACAAAATTTTTTTTTCCAAAATCAATTATTTTGTTAAGACAAGCTGAAAGTTCTTTCAATCATTTAAATCGGACGCTTAGTTCTCTCAAAAACTGCCATTTTTACATATTTAGCTCCGTATCTTCAAAATGGCTGGGCCTGCCTTTGCCAAAAACTAATAAACACTTCTCCCAATCATTACTAATTGAATGTTTTTTACATCATTCAAATCGGATACTCCGTTCTCTCAAAAATTCGATTTCTATTTTCTGCACTCTTTGCTCCGTATCTCCGAAACGGCTGGACCTGCCTTTGCCAAAAACTAATCAGCTCTTTTCCCTATCAATAGGAATCGAATGTTTTTTGAACCATTCAAATCGGTTGATCCGTGCGCCCTGAAACGTGACTGGAAATTTGTATCCATACATACATACACACACACACACACACACACACACACACACACACACACATCCATTTTTTCTGAGGTATGCCAAAACGTTCAGAAACCTTCAAAACGTCGAGAAATGTAAAAATTTTCAATTCCGATTTTCGGCCCATTACAATAACTTACCCTACGGGAAGTTAATAATGATTCGAATTGTTATTACAGTTCAATAGCTTATAAGCGACATTTATAAGCTTGATCGATTTTTATCTCAAATCTTTTCATCTCACATATATCCTCTATCTCCTTAGGCTTATTACGGTGGAGAGGCCCGCTGCGACATGGCCAATCAGCAGGGCGCCGGCGAGGAGGCCTCCTACGAGGCTTGCGAGTTGGCCTGCGGCGCCTGCAGCGACGTCTCCGGCGCCCGAACATGCCCGCGACACGGCATGGACTTCCTCGAGTACAAGTGCCGCTACTGCTGCTCCGTCGCCGTGTTCTTCTGCTTCGGCACTACGCACTTCTGCAACGCCTGTCACGAGGACTTTCAGAGGGTCGCCAACGTGCCGCCGGAGGAGCTGCCGGTGTGCCCTGCAGGTAATAATGGAAATATAATAAATATAATAATATAATTAAAGTTGTGCATGGCATCGTGCCTTAAGGTTTAAAGATTTTTTTTGAATATTGAAGAAGTTTCTTATTTATTTTTTTTGAAATTTTTGAGAAAATTTTTAAATTTTTGAGCAAATTCTACTTTTTTGAATATTAAATAGAAACCACTGTTTTTAAATTCATTGAAAATTTGTAAAATTTTTGAAAAAATGCGACTTTTTTGAAAATTTTAAAAAAAAACTGTTTTTAAATTTATTGAAAATTTTGAAAAAATGCGACTTTCTTGAATATTTAAAAAAAACTGTTTTTAAATTTATGTTTGGATAATAGTAGTAGTTTGAGTAATAGTAATGTTTTAAAATTTTGAAATTTTTGAAAAAATGCGATTTTTTTGAATGTTAAAAAAACACATTTTTTAAATTTATTGAAAATTTTGAAATTTTTGAAAAAATGCGACTTTCTTGAATATTGAAAGAAAAAACACTGTTTTTTAAATTTATTGAAAATTTTGAAATTTATGAAATAATGCGACTTTTTTGAAAATTAAAAAAAAAAACTGTTTTTAAATTTATCGAAAATTTTGAAAAAATGCGACTTTCTCGAATATTTAAAAAAAACTTTTTAAATTTATTGAAAATTTTGAAATTTATGAAAAAATGCGACTTTTTTGAATATTTAAAAAAAACACTGTTTTTATATTTATTTATTTTATTTTTATTTATATATATACATTATTTTCATACCTCAGACAGGCAGAGTTGCCTGGTATGAAAGATTATGAAAAACAGTTTTCATATTTATTGAAAATTTTGAAGTTTTTGAAAAAATGCGACTTTCTTGAATATTTAAAGAAAAAACACTGTTTTTTAAATTTATTGAAAATTTGTAAAATTTTTGAAAAATGCGACTTTTTTGAAAATTAAAAAAAAACTGTTTTTAAATTTATTGACAATTTTGAAAAAATGCGACTTTTTTGAATATATAAAAAAAACACTGCTTTTAAATTTATTGAAAATTTTGAAAGTTTTATAAAAACGCGACTTGTTTTGATAATTTTGACTCCTATTTAAATAGATTGATTTATATTATCGAAAATGTCAAACATTTTTTTGGACTAAGTAAGTTCATTCAATTATTATTAATTTTGGTATGGAACCCATACAAATGTAAACAAAATTTGTACTCATTATTAAAATCTCTATAAAATAACTGATAATTTGATATACATATGTCTTATGATCATTTTTGACTCCCAAATGACATTTTTAACGTCCTGTAGGTAGGTTAGTATTTATATTAATCATTCAAAAATCAACTAGTGGTGTATGGCATCGTGCCTTAAGGCAAATTGCTGGAACTTCCCGTACCGTAACGAAGTATTCGAGAAATATTAAATGTTTTCAAACATATTACTATAAATACTGTAACTTCCATTATTCGTTTTTTATAGACAAAATATAAAAGCTTATGAATTGGACGACGTTTGTATATGTTTACATGAAAAGTAAATAAACAAAACTTAATCAAGCGGAGTAAGAATGAAGGACCTTATATCATATTTATATGTAAATTGAATTGCAATATTAAAATTATTTATTTGAAGAATATAAGTTAGCTTTAGAACCTTAGCTAGATTTTAAATGAAAATCCGAATAATTTTCAATATTTTTAAAGTAAATCTTTTAAAAATTTAAAAAAAAATGAAATTTTGAAAACAAATATATATATATATATATATATATATATATATATAACAAATGTATTCTGAGTGGATAATATATATTAATTTGGAAATATGAACAAACAACACTCTTCTTGCACTAATTTATTAAATAATAATTTTCACAAACGTTTCGAGACTAGGTTTGTCTCATCATCAGTGTGTTATAATTAAAAAAATTTTAAAATATGGAAATCTAAAATTAGCATTTTGTGTTTTTCATTACAAGTCGTTCACTGCACGCTGTTCTTTTAATGCCAACGGTCTTCGGTGTTCGTATTCTCTCCCACTTGAAAACCACTTGAAATTGTAAAGTCACTCAATCAGATAGGAAAGAAAGGATTAGGGTCCAGTTGAAAAATAGATGTCGTTAGGAGAAAAAAATATTCTATGATGAGATGGTTTGTTATAGATTTGTTAACATTGTTATAATTAAAAGTGTATGTACATCTATATATAAGCTACAAAGTATGAATGAGATTCAGATATGTATCATGTAATATATTGGTATCTGCCCGTAATTTATTGTGTTACTTGTATGGGCTATTAACATCGATACAAGTAACACAGCTCATACAAGTAACACAATAAATTTACGGGCAGATACCAATATATTACATGATACATATCTGAATCTCATTCATACTTTGTAGCTTATATATAGATGTACATACACTTTTAATTATAACAATGTATAACAAATCTTATAAACAAACCATCTCATCATAGAATATTTTTTCTCCTAACGACATCTATTTTTCAACTGGACCCTAATCCTTTCTTTCCTATCTGATTGAGTGACTTTACAATTTCAAGTGGTTTTCAAGTGGGAGAGAATACGAACACCCGAAGACCGTTGGCATTAAAAGAACAGCGTGCAGTGAACGACTTGTAATGAAAAACACAAAATGCTAATTTAGATTTCCATATTTTAAAATTTTTTTAATTATAACACACTGATGATGAGACAAACCTAGTCTCGAAACGTTTGTGAAAATTATTATTTAATAAATTAGTGCAAGAAGAGTGTTGTTTGTTCATATTTCCAAATTAATATATATTTATATATATATTAGATGACCCGAAATACGTTGGCCTGTACCTTCTGTCTACAATTTTTTAATATCCTATAATAATACCGTTTACACCGCAATAATAATGTAGACGTTACAATTTTCTTATTCGTAATCATGAATTTATTATATATATTCTAATATTGTCTAGGATCATAAGTAAATTGAAATTTTTGGCAGATGACAGTTTTTATTTGATTTCAATGCCAAACAATGTCTCAAAATTCTCAACATCAAACAATGGCATGTCGTTTTTTGCATTTTTTTCCATTTATTATTGTAGTAATAACTTTTATAAAATGGAAAACATATGAGAACAATTTGAGAGCAGTCCATGTAGTATATGTGTGGCATTTCTAGCGAATAGGGTGAGATTTCAAAATGTCTGTGGGGAAAAATGCAGCTTTTGCCATATTTTTGTATGGTACCTAGTTCCTTCCCAAAACTTGCGATATATTCAAGAATTCAATATACAATGTTACATTTTTCTGATAAAATTGGTCTTTCTGCAAACCATTCATGAACTGTGCAAAAATCAATCGATTGTATGACGCATCGTGGCGCATCTAGTTTTATCGATGGTAAGCTTTCCGTCGACAAAAACTAAGAATAGTTAAGAAAATGTTCCAATGGATAAATTTAAGCTCCTCAATAAATTGAAAAAAAAAGTGATCGAAATCAACAAATTTTAATATTTTATTTATTTCTTAATTCCAGGACCAAAAGCAACACAACTGGAAGGCGACGAATGTCCACTTCACGTAAAACATCCTCCGACTGGCGAAGAATTCGCTTTGGGTTGTGGAGTCTGTAGAACTTGCCACACATTTTAAACTATACACACACACATTACATACACATACACACCGGCACACACACATATTTAGTTTATAAAGTTAGTAGTTATAAAGGATAGTTGATAAGAAGTTGGATTTGAAAAGTGCCCATCATGATAGAGACTTGTAAGTAAGTAGATTAGTTTTAGTTTTAGTGTTTATTTTTTAAGAAATAATTGTGAAGGCAAATTTGTTAAAGACGAGCCAGTAATAATCGAAGTGCCCATATGGATATGATGAATAATGTAATTTAGATGATATATACATACTTAGTTATAATAATAATTTAAACGGAAAATTTTGCCTTATAAAATAGCTTTGTCAATGCAACGCGGATAAAAATGTCTAAGTGTTTGCTGTGCGATCAGGCGCATTTTACACATAAACAAGCAAGGAGGATGGCGCAGTTATCATAAGATTCTTCTTTGCTTGTTTATATGTAAAACGCGACATTTTCACAGTTTCACTACCAAGAAATAAGCATAAGATGCTATTTTATAAGGCAGAATTTCCCGGTAAATTTATCTTTCGCACATTTTAATACTATCCCTTTAGATATTCTTCTAGTGATCATTTTACCAAAACTCATAGATGATTTTAATGTTGATATTACAGTAATTAAGATGACTGTGACTTATTAGTTATTAGTAGTACGTAATCATTTGCTTAATTGTTAGATTTAATTTAAGTTCTAGATAATGTAATAATTTTTTTTTTAATGTTGTATTATTTTATGATTCAATTTAGTTTTAGAGTTTTGTTAATGTTATGTTATTGTACCTCAGTCGACTGATATTTTCGCCATAGGTCGTAATTGTATTTTTTTTGAATTGTGATTAGTGTAATTAATTTGAGGGTAAATATATTGATTAAGGAATAATAATTATTTTTGTTTTCGTTTGCGGGTAAAAACGTCCGCCACCATTTTAATGATGTTATTTTAAAGTAGAGGGCAAAAGATGTGTAACCAAGAACTGCTTTAAAGTCGGGAAACGCCGCTATAACGTGTCACACATTGTCAATTTTTTAACAAAAGTACTTTTTTCATGTTTTTGCGGTTTTGAGCACTGTTGTTTAGTTTACGGTACCTGAATATAATTTTGAAATCGATCGATCGCGTGATTAATGAACCCACCCCCTAAATTGTGGTATTTTTAACGATGATATTTTAAAGTGGAGGGCAAATGATGTGTAACGAAGCACTGCTTTAGATAATAGGCCACGTTGTCAATTTCTTGACGAAAGTTTTTTTTCTTTATTAGTTTTTGTTGGTTTTGAGCACTGTTGTTTAGCTTACGGTTCCTGAATATAATTTTGAAATCGATCGATCACGTGATTAATGAACCCCTTCCCCCTAAATTGTGATATTTTTAACGATGCTATTTTAAAGTGGAGGGCAAATGATATGTAATGAAGCATTGCTATAAATAATAGCCCACGTTGTCAATTTTTTGACGAAAGTTCTTTTTCTTTATTAGTTTTTGTTGGTTTCGAGCACTGTTGTTTAGTTTATGGTACCTGAATATAATTTTAAAGTCGATCGATCACGTGATTAACAGACACCCTTTAAATTGTGGTATTTTTAACGATGCTCTTTTAAAGTGGAGAGCAAATGATGTGTAATGAAGCATTGCTATAGATGATAAGCTACTTAGTCAATTTTTTATCAAATTTTTTTTTCTTTGTTAGTTTTTTGGGTTTTGAGCGCTGTTGTTTAGTTTACGATACGTGAGTATAATTTTTACGAAAACGTTATTTAATTGTTTTAGAAGGTTTTTTTTGTGTTTCTCATTTAGATTCAACCGTTTTTTTTTTTATCCTCTATAAAAGTTTTGCATGTGGTTGGGGTAAAAAGAACCACTTGAAATTTTATGCTGGCAAAGGTGGAAAAAATAAAGAAATAGTAAATAAAAATATAAAACTGGTTAAAAATACAATTTGAAAAGATTTTAATTAAATTAATAGTTATTACATCTCTGATGATGAATTCTGCCGACGAAGGTTGTGTAAAGTGTGTTTTTTGTGAAAAATGTACTCGTGAAATGTGTATTCGAACAGAAGTTGTGTTTATCTTATTTGCGACAATTGATTTGCAAGAAAAAATGAATCTGGTTATGTTAAATTAAACAAAAGGACCTACCAGAGTAAAATTCTTGGTCATTATGTTTACCGATGTATATTTTTATTATAAGTTCAAAGTTGTTTAACCTAGAAACTAAACAGTCTGGCATTGATCAAATAATGCAGTTATTTTTCTTTGGAAAAAAATTATATTATATTAACAATAAAACTTTGAACCAGTTTTGGTCTCCGACTGTCCTTTTTAACTGAACTATGTTAAATTAGAACAGGCGACATGGCCTAGAATAAAAACAAAAAAACATATTTCAACTTTTCGTAGGGTAGTTTTAGTAATCGTTCAAAAATCAAAAATGAAAATTCAGTTCATATAATTTTTATAAATATTAGAAAATGTTACAATATTTATAATAATCTATTTGAAAACATTTAATACGGGAAGTTCCAGCCACAGGGATGCCATAAACAACTAGTTAAATTTTAATTTTTGGTATGAGAAGTTCCAGCAATTTCCCTTAAGGCACAATGCCATGCACCACAACTTCTTTTTCCGGACAATAAAAAACATATCAAGGTAAAATCTGTTTAATTTTATAAAACTTTTGTTAACATTTGAACATTACGAGGTTTCTTTATGGCATTTTCGCATTATCACATCGTTTAACGATAAGCATATCACAAAATCTAAACTAAATATATACATCAACATACTCGGTATAAAAATTGTTCTATTTACAAAACATTTGACTAAAAAAATATATCGAACTGACTCTTTTTTCTATATTTACACTACTACCATTTAATTTTATCCTGCACAAGATCCTCTTGTAACTTTTTGAAATTAGTATATACATGATTTTTATTAACATTTGGTGTATTTAGTACAGCGTTTAGTTTCCTCTCGGTCGTCATCAGGATGGCTTTCCAACCGGCATTTCTAGCACCCACGTAATCTTTTAAAGGAGTGTTACCGATGTGCAGGGCATCCTGGGGTTTGATCAAAGGCACTCGACTTTCCTCCAGAGCCTTTGCAAATATCTTCTCGTCCGGTTTCTCACAATTCACTCTGTACGAAGTGATGATGAATTGAAACTCGTGATGCAGGTGCATGTTTTTTAATATATTCAGCAACCTGGTATCAAAGTTAGAGATTATACCAAGACATATATTATTTTGTTGTAAGCAATTTAATAAATTCCTACTACCATCAGCCACTTTCCACACGGATGCATCTTCGTACTTGGTTATGAGTTGGTCTGCGATGTTGTGCAGGGATTGCTCATCGATCTGGGAACCGTTGGAGCAGTCTTTGAAACTATTGAAGACTACTGTGCGCCACCAGTTTTGCCAAGGCATGTTGTGGGTTCTGCCGAAATTCGGGTACAACTTGGACATGGTTTTCATTTGCTTTTTAACATTTGCAGAAAGTTGTGCGGGTTCACAGTGGACACCGAACATGGAACCAGCTTCTGCATACTGGCTACCAGGATCCATCCTATATTCTAGTAAAGTATCCGTTACATCGAATGTTACCAGTTTGAAACGATTGTGTAAGTTTTTTGTTATCCTATTCATTCTTAAAATTTTTGAGGTTATGTTGAAACTTTGATTGCGAAAATTTTGATTTAGTTGATTTTTTTTAGACACAAACACCACACCAGTGATTTATTTGAATCGCTTTCGTCACATTTTTTTATTTATAAATTAGTTTTGTTATTATTTAATGCTGTCGAATCTGCATTTTTGACATATGATTTTGATCTTTCTTTCAAACGATTGCGTGTGTGTGTTTGTTATCTGACACATTAAGGCGCTACCACATGTGCGATTTTTGTGAAGAAGTTTGAATATATTTTACAAAAACGATTACATGTTTAAAAATTTGCATTTTTTATATAAAATGTTTAAAGCTATGTTAATGATGACACGCATACAGTGTCGAAACGTGCAAAATAGTGCGTGGAATCAGGCTTTAAAGCAAATTACTGAAACTTCCTGTACCAAAAATTATTTGTTTTAAAAAACCTTCAAAATTTTTTGAAAACTTTGAAAAAATTGGAGTTTAAGAGCATTTTGAATTTCTTTTTAAACACTTTAGATTTTATTTTGATATTTTCAATATTTAGATGTATTTTTAAAATATTGAAAAATTCCGTGTTGAGAATTTCGAATCTTTCCTGGAGCATTTTTTAATTTTTTTTAAATTTCTGAAAAGTTTGATGTTCTGAATTTTTTTTTCATTATTGCATTTTTTTGGAAATTCTCAATATTTTTTTCAACATATTTGAAAATTGTAAACAATCCGACTATTTTGAGCATTTTAAACCTTTTTGAATATTTTGATGTATGTATTTTGAAAGAATCTTACTTTTTTTAGAATTTCGAATATTTTTTTGAAACATTTTTGAATTTTCTTGAACATTTTGAAAATTAAGTTTTTTGGGAAATTTGAAATTTTGGATGTTTTTTGATAATTTTGAAAACATTCGACTTTTTTATTATTTTGAATTTTTTTAAGAATATTATTTTTTTCTCAAAATTATTCAAAAGAATCCGACTATATTGAGCCTTTTTTTGAATTTGATGTATTTTAAAAAATAAATCGGCATTTTTAAGAATTTTGAACCGTTTTTTGAACATTTTTTAATTATCTTGAAAATTTTGAAAATTAATCTTTTTGAAAATTTCGAAAAAATCCGACGCTTGAGAATTCTGAATCTGAATCTTTTTTCTCTTAATTATTTGAAAGAATCCAATTATTTTGTACGAAATTATTATATATAGTTATTTGAACGAAAACGAATTTTGAACATTTTTCAGAATTTCGAAACGTTTTTTGACCATTTTTGAATTTTCTTGAAAATTTTTGGAAATTTAGAAAAATACGATTTTTTGAGAATTCTTTATCATTGTTTGAATATTTTTGAATTTTTTTAAAAATCCAGAAGTATTTCGAATCGTTTTTTGAACTTTTTTGAATTGTCTTGGAAATTTTGAAAATTAGTTTTTTGGAAATTTTTAAATATACGATTTTTTGAGAATTATCTATCTTTATTTTGAATACTTTTGAAAATCCAGAAGTTTCCAGAAAATCTTAAAAAAACCTGACTATTTGAAAGTTTTGAATGTTGTTTCAACATATTTTTTTGAAAATTTCGAAAAAAGACATGAAATATTTGAGAAATCTTCGATTATTTTGAAAATATAAGTTATAACTTCAAATAATATAACTCATGGTACGGAACTCAAGAAATGTAAACAAAATTTGTACTCATTATTAAATTCCTTATAAAACATCTGATAATTTTGATGAGCATATGTCTAAAGATTATTTGACCGTCAAATGTTTTTTTTCTTACTTTTTTAACGAATATCCAAAACCGTTGGAATTGCCTTCCCAACAATTTAATCAATTTTTAATTTTGTCAATACAAATAAAATGTTTTGTGAGTTATTCGAATTGGATGCTCCGTTTTCTAAAAACTGAATTGCCATTTTTGGCAGTTTTTGCTTCTTATCTCTTAAACGGTTAGACCTGCATTATATAAAAAAAAATTCATTTTTTTTTTTTAAAGTCCAATTTCTTCAAACAATCCAAAATACTCAAAAGTCTAATTGTTTTTATTTAAAGTTTTCTATTTTATTATTGAAAGTTTTAGTAAAAATTTAAAACTTTTTTAAAAATTTCAATTTTCGGTACGGTAAGTTTCTGGAATTAAGTTAAAATGGTGGTTGTTAAAATGGAGTTGTCGGTTAATTTTTTGAAATTAACTCAAAATTGTCGTCCTAAAATTTTTGTCGAAAATAGAATTCTCATTTCAACTGTTGTTTTTCGGATCCTCTTCATGTTAACTGCATTCAGAATTGGATCTGATTGATATTTATTTTTGAACAATATATTATTATTATTTTATCGAAATTAAAAATTTTTACCAATGTGATAGCGAATTTTCTATCCCATCCGTCTTTTCAATGTCAGAAGAGTACAAGGTAAATTCTAACTCTTGTTAGTCGTTGGTAATGAATTGTTTCAACAATCAACAAATACAAATACAAATTCATTTTATTATCAGCAAACAAACAAACCGACGATTTGCTGAGAGAGAGATCTCACTAAATATATAACAATAAATAGATTGTTACTGTTATTTAATAACAAAACCAAACCAAACGTTATGCTGATAAAAAAACTTGTGCGGTAACGGTTGAGATTTTCTGTTATCAGTATTTGATAAAAAATTTAAACAGAAACATATTTTTCTAAATTTATTGATATTTTTAAATATTTTCTTTAGTAAGTAAATTATTTGGTTTTTGGTAAGAATTTTACTAAATAGGGAATTGTGGGAGAAAGGCGAAAATTTAGGGCTGTATATAACTTCTTATGAAGAATTATACAAAATTAATTTAAAACCAGTGAGGTGTATGGCATAGTGCCTTAAAGCAAATTGCTGGAACTTCCCGTACCGTAATGAAATATTCGAGAAATTTTAAACGTTTTCAAATATATTATTACAAATACTGTAACTTTCATTATTTTTGATATCTTATTGTTATATCTGAGCAAATCAAATGTATATCATAAATAAATCAATTTATCTCCAGAATATTAACTATCGTCATTTCATTTCGAATTCAATTTCAACAAAAAAAATAGTTGCCTTATTTATACAGAATTGAAAAGTGCTTCCGTATAGTGACAGTCTAATTTATTTATTTTAATAATTTAATATTGATAGGGAGATGTGCTGATTAGTCTTTGGCAAAGGCAGGTCCAGCCGTTACGGAGATACGGAGCAAAGAGTGCAGAAAATACAAATCGAGTTTTTGAGAGAACGAAGTATTGGATTTGAATGATCTAAAAAACATTCAATTTGTAATGATTGGGAGAAGTGGCTGTTAGTTTTTGGCAAAGACAGGTCCCGCCATTTCAAAGATACAGAGCTAAATGTGCGAAAAATGGCAGTTTTTGAGTGAACTAAGCGTCCGATTTGAATGATCTAAAAAACTTTAGCTTGTATTGACAAAACAATTGCTTTTGAGGATAAAAAATTATTACATATTTTTGTTATTTTCCATAAAATATTTCTGTAATTTTGGATTAAAAATTCAAAAAATTACCCAGGCTAAGCGCAGTCTAAGCGCCACTCTGGTACAAATGTTGCACCCAAGTGCGTTTAGACTGTTTATGTTCTGGAGCACTTTTCCAATTTTGTGAAAAAAACTATTGAAAAATGTGAAAATGCCGCCGAGCCAAGCACAGTATAAGTGGAAATGTCGCACAGAATTATTTGCAAATGCGTTTAGGTTGTGACTATACAGGAGCACTTTTTCAATTTTGTCTAATTAGTAAGCAACTATCTTTTTGAAATTAAATTCGAAATGAAATGACGATTGTTAATGTTCTGGAAATAAATTAATTTATTTTTGATTTACATTTGATTTGTTCAGATATGACAAGATAGCAAAAATAATGAAAGTTACAGTATTTGTAATGATATATTTGAAAACGTTGAAAATTTCTCGAATATTTCATTACGGTACGGGAAGTTCCGGCAATTTGTCTTAAGGTACGATGCCATACACCACTAGTTATTTTTTAGTTTTTTTACAACGAATAACAGACCTAGACTGAAACATCTAGTTCTAATAATATGTGGTAATTACTTAGTTTTTAATTGGCATTATGATTTAATTAACTTATCTATTAATATATATATATATATATATATATATATATATATCTATATATATAAAAGAGGATCGCTTTATGTGCTAACACTTATAACTCACGAACGGCTGAACCGATTTAGATGAAAATTGGCAGGGAGGTAGTTTAGAGCCAGGAGAAGGACTTAGGATACTTTTTATCCCGATTTTCAGTTTAATTGATAGTATATTTATATATATATAAAAAAAATACTAGCTAACCCGGCCACGCGTTGCTGTGGCTCAGTAATTGGTGGCAGAGAGGTAGTTTAGAGCCCGTTTTTCATTCTAATTCAGAATTAATTATTTATAAACTATCCATGTAGTTTATTCAATCTATGATACTATATATATATGTGTATATATAAGGTAAAAAGAGCATTACTTACATTTACATGTACATTTTGTCGAATAACTTATTCCCAGTTATAATTTCCCAGAATTTATCAAAGAATGGTTAGTAATATATGAAGGTACGGGGTTAAAAGTTTCACGACCAAAGTGTCAAAATCCAGTAAAGCTGAAGCATTGTTTAACAACAATATTTGAAAGTGAAGGGAGAAAGATGTATAACCAGCTATAACCTTGATTCTTATGACTTTGATATTGGGAGATAAACGGTCATCTTTGAAAATCCATAGTAAAAGTATTTTCTTCTGTTGGTACTTTTTTAACATTAGTTAAAAATGTAATTATTTTGTAAAATACCTTTGAAATTAAAATAAGACATTAAACCTGTTTGCCATCTGGCCGTTCCAAGTTACCCCGCCTATAAGGTGAAAAAGTCTAGATAACAAATTGTTGAAAGACAGCAAAAAAAGCACATTTTTAAAATGACGAAGTCTGTAGTTTTACTGAACGTAGTCAGCTAATTGTTCGTTTGAAATGTGTCATTTGTTGTGATGAAGTTGGTTTCATTTTCATAATAAAATTTATATTTGCTCAAACTCAAATTGGACCTTTAAGCCTTGCC